CTGAACTGCCCCCAAACGCATCACTTTTCTCTGTAGTGTCATAACTTTATCACGAGGTGGCGACAAAGTATTAAAATAGTGATAATCTCGCTAATAGCCTTACTACCTTCTAATACAGTATGAAAGAAATATATTTAAACTATAACTACTGACATCAACATCAAAATGTTTTTTACACTCCATAGATACTTATTTTGCCACAAAGGAAGTATGACATTTTAAATTTGAACTGGTAATTATTCATTAGGCAAACAAAAAGATGAACTATCTGTAACAAACACTACCATACTTATTTGGTTAGAGCGACTTGTTGAACTAAGTGGTTCTGTGATCATATAAACTTAGAAATTTTGATCTATACAAAAACATTTATGCGATCATAGAGGACAACGATTAATTACACTTTTTTCTTCACGTGGGCAGGTATTTAGATAAATTTATGGTGTGCTTGTTAAAATTGCAAAAACAACAACAACAAAAACAACAACAAAACATGCACGTTAAACACGCTTTTTATGAGTTAAATGACGTAGCACACGCCCCTCCTCTAGCCTTGTGTTTTACAGGAAATGGTTCACTTTAGCCGCCAGAGCTAAAGTGAAACTTAAACTATCGGGACACGTTTGAGTCCAAATTCATCCCGGGAAGACGAATCGCACTTTTTTTTTCCCCCTAAAACGTTTCCACGCAGCTCAAACCTTTTCTTCGTCATGGCTGGTAAGTTAAATTAGCTTCTCTTCGTTAAGCTGCAAATTTGACGATCTGGAGCAAAACAGAATATACAGTATAAAGAGCGCAGCTTCGTTGCACAGTCTCCTCCCAGACATGCATGTTGTTTCTCCTTGCAGTCCTGCAATGTTTGTGCAAGAGGCAAAAAGATATATCATACGTAGAGCTTCTTCAGGGCTTTTAGAATTATTACTTCTTGTTTTAAAAATAAAATCACAAAGCATAACAACACCTGCCTTCTCACAGTTTAGTAGTGAGGAAAAAAGAAAAGGGGGGGGGGGGAATTATCTGTATTTGTGTGTCTGTATGAGGTGAAACAAACTGTATGAAGCACTTTTGAACCGTTTTGCACTTTAATTTGATAAATTAAAGTTATATATATATATATATATATATATATATATGTATATATTTGGGGATTTGCAGCCATGTAAAATAACTTATTTTAATGGTATTTTCTCTTCATGAATATTAAGCCAAGCAGAAGAAGTTTCAAGAAAATAAAAAAATCAGGCACTACATTTACAATTGTTGAAATACTTATCAGCAGCATTTAAAAGTATCTTGAAAGAAGGTAGATGAATTATAATTGATTTAGGTTGTTTTCCTCTCCTTGTTGCCAGACAAACTGAGGATTGTCCTGCTGGGGAAAACTGGGTCTGGGAGGAGCAGCCTGGCCAACACCATCTTGGGGAAGGACGTTTTCGAAGTGAAGAATTTCACCAGCTCAGCGGTCACTCACTGCCGGTCAGAGGCCCAACGAGTTCACGGCAGGAGCCTGGCTGTGGTCGACACGCCCGGCGTCTTCCACTCTGGACTGTCTGAGAAGGAGCAGAAGCGTGAGATAGAGAGGTGTATCTCAGAGTGCGCTCCGGGGCCCCACGCTTTCCTCATCGTGCTCAAAGTGGAGAAGTTTACGGAGCAGGAGAGCCAGGTCATCAGAATCATACAGGAATGTTTCTCTGCAGAGGTTTTCAAGTATTCTGCTGTTGTTTTCCCACTGGGCGACCAGTTGGCGGAAGACATGAGGATAGAGGAGTTTGTTAAAAAAAATCAGCAACTGAAAGATCTGGTGGAGAAGTGTGGAGGGAGATGCCACGTCGTTGATAACAAGTACTGGAAAAACAAACAGGATGAGGTCAGAAACAACGGGTTCCAGGTGGAACAGCTGCTCAACACCGTCGAGAAAATGGTGACAGAAAACCACGGCGACTACTACAGCACACACATGCTGCAAGACTGGCAGAAACAGAACCAACAACCCATAGTCCACCGTTTATTTCAGAGTGTTATGAAATATGTAAGACTGAAGCCTGTGTTCATTTTTAGTGTGATAATTGTAGGTTTAATTATATGGAGAAGATGGGAAGAACATCCCACTGAGATCAGATAATCAGACGATTATCTGGTCCGATTATTAGGACCAGATAATCGGGTTGGATTGATTACAGAATCCCTACAGCTGATCTCAAACTGACAGCAGCTCCATCATGATTATTGTCCTAAGATTTGCTGCTCTGAGTGAAAAAAAGGAATTTAAAATGGATTTTCACCAAATATTTTGAGTTTTTGATTCTCAACATGACTCCTTTCTTTCTCCTGCTGGGATCTGTCCTTAAACAAAGGCTCCTCATTGGTCAACTAACGAATCATTGTAACTGCTGAATCAAAATAGCTCCTTGTCTCCTAATGAGAAAAATGTTCTGCCAAAAATGCCAATAGAGATTTAAATAACTGACTTTCTGTTACGAGGCTTAAAGATTCGCAACAGACGAGCTGCTGGAGTATTTTTAGTACAAGCAGCAACAGAAACCCACAGAACAACTGCAGTCACATCATTTAACAGACGTAGAAACTGATATTAACAACAGCATAGTTATCACTCAGAACTGCAGCATATCAGACAGAGAGTAAAACACAGCATAGTCAATTAAAAATGAAATTAAAATGTGTATCATTTGAGTTTGGAGCTGGATTTTGTAATCCGTAATATTGCATAATTCTCACAACATGTTAATAATGAATTCAGTTGTTTAATTCAGCTACAGGGTTCTTTAGCAGAGCTTTTGCTGTTCTGTCACCTGTTTTAACTTTGTCCAAGTGTTACAGTTTTGCTAACAGACGACTGGATCAACCAGCAGGATGAAAAAAAGTACAGAATGCATCGCTGCAAAGCTTTTGACAAGATATTCGAGTCCAAAAGGAATGTTCTTAGAGTTGAACTCAGCCATTTCATACAAGAAAAAGTTGTTTCATAGAGTTGGTGGACATCAAACTAAACCGCCCCAGTGAAGGCAAATACAAGCGTTAGCTCCCAAATTATTAGAGCATACTAGAGTTAGGTTTGTTCCCCTTTTGATTTATAATTCCCAAGAAACACTAAAATTGTTTCTCTGTCAATTTTAGTGTTCCTCTCATTGTCCCCTTGCTCCATGCTCTTCTTCAGCTAGTATAGTATGGGCATTTTTTTATGCCAATAGAATTCCATACACACACACACACACACACACACACACACACACACACACACACACACACACACACACACACACACACACTAGAAGGAAACAAACACATCCAGTGTAACACTTTCATTCTATTGGCTGAGAGGTTGCCAGGCGATATTATCGATATCAGGATCGATCTGTCCACCTCCAGTTTCCAAGCGGAGATTTGATCCGAGCAGAGAGACGAGTTTTGAGTGCGAGGAGAAAGATTTGAGAAAGCACAGTGAATATTTGAAAGAGAGCAGAAGTTTTGAGTTCAAGCACTATAAGTTTTGAGAAGAAAGACATGAAATCCTGCTTTCAGACTGAAAATGTGTGCTATTGGATTATGGCAGAACCTGTTGGCTCTACAAAATGGGCCCCTTATTATAGTGCCTTTTCACTGGCATTGATGATGGTGTGTACAATAAAACTACAGTTACAGGACAAAACCCCTGCAGCTTTTATTTCTATTTAAGTCTAATACAGAACAATTCTGTATTGCAAGAGTCATACGGCATTGTGTGTTCAAGTTTATTTGTATAGCACATTTCAGTAAAAATGCAGCTCAAAGTGCTTTACATCAAAAAACACAAAAATACAACGTCATAAAACACAGTCAACAAATGCAGCATTACATTTTATCAGTGCTGTCATTACACATAAGAATGTTGTTTCATTTATAATGTTTCAAATGCAACGCTAATCTGCTGGGTGTTTAGTCTAGATTTAAACGCACTTGGTGTTTCGCCTGTTTGGTTCTGGGGATGCAGAGCAGAACCAGAACCAGAAGACCTGAGGGGTCTGGAAGGTTGATACAGCAACAGGAGATCTTTAATATACTGTGATGTTGAACCATTCAGTAGTTCATAAACCAGCAGCAGTATGTTAAATACTCTGAGCTACAGGGAGCCAGTGTAGGGACTGTGAACTGGTGTGAACTGGTTTCAGTCAGAACACCAGCAGCAGCATTCTGCAGCTGGAGGATTTATTTTTTTAGGCAGACCTGCGAAGACACTGTTGCAGCAATCAGTGCAATTAAAGATAAAGTTTCTCTAGATCTTGCTTAGACATGATTTGAATATAATCCTATTTAAGATGAGGCACTGAGACAATCAAGAACAATCAAAAACGGCAAAATGCATTTTGTCATTTTATTTATCCAACAGGCCAAAACAGCTTTTTGAAGACCCTCAGAGAATGAGAGCGAAGTGACAAGTAGAAACATGCTTTTCATACACCCTTCTCCAGCGTGAGACACGGTAACAGGCAGTTTCACTTCCTGTCAGCAACAGAGAGAAGTCACGTCTCACTGTCCAGTTTAACTTTCCTCTTTCTTCTGTTCTCACTCTACAGAGTTCTTCTTTCAAAGTTTATCCACGGCTCTCAAAACACAAAGTTTTCACACCTTAAATGTCAGCTTTAAAGGTCATGTCTTGGTCATGGTCTAAACGTCTGCTCAACTCTGACAATCAAAATGTATGTAAAATAAAGAATAACCTAAGTCCTAATTTTTCTAATGTATTCCATATATGACAATCTTTTAAGACAACTGAAACATCACACAGGATGTTTCAGTTCACCTGTTTTTGTCAGAGCTGCGAAGGCGTCTGCACATTGCCTGGAAACACCTTTAACAGGAAACGGAGCAGTCAGCCTTGTTCTCTTGTGCAGTGAACTTCATCAGTAAAGTGTAACTTTGTGATGCACATTTTCTAGCTGATGGATGAATTTTCCACTTTCCACTTTGGAAAAGTAACTATACCATCCCTGGTAATAAATTGACTACACTGTATGTCATATGTGTGTATATATATTTGTTTTATCATCTCAAGGTGGCATTTTTTTTTACATAACCACATTTGTTCTATGAACTGCTGGCATTAAGTTTCACATCAATAAGACAATATTTGGGGAAAATATGTAGGGCATGCAGATATTGGCAGGCTAATAATTTGCTGTGCCAAAAGAAAAATGCACCCCCCTGCTAACATGGAGAAAAAAAGAGCTAAGAGGGAAACTGCAATGCTTAACTTTCAGTTAATTTCGTATAAAAAGTATGTTGAGTTCGTTTCATCCAAATCTGTTCCTGTTCATTGGTATTTTAAAGTTTATCGCTGGATGATGTATTCCTGGTGTCAGACCGCCCTCTAGTGGCCCCTGGAGTGATGTGCATTATTCTCGTTTTCTTCTCCAGTCTGCAGTTTTCTTGGCCAGTAAAGGTACCTATCAGAAGCAGCTCGATTAGAGATGGAGCTGGAGAAGCAGGCACGGTGGAGGCAGAGGACCTAGATATATACACATCATCTGTCTCACATCGCACTGTCACGACAGACAGTTTTAACAAATATGTAAAAAAAAAAAAAGAAAGAAAACCAAAACAACAAAAAAACTAACATGTTTTTATAAATGTTTTAAGACACTTGCATTGCATTTATAGAGTGGCAAAGAGTCTGATGCTGTTTGTTCCAATGGTATTTAACCCTTATAAGTAATAAAGTTTGATCAACTTTGAGATGTTTATTTCACGGACACCAGTACAAATCCTGTACTAGTTTGAACCCCGTTTCATCCATTTTCCTTTATTTATTTATTTAGACCGGACAGAAAGTAAAAACAAAATAAAATTTAAATAAATTACCGTGTCCAGCGACATGCAATCTTGCATTATTTGTTCGAAAAGGAGCAGATAGATAAGGTACCAGATCTCATGATTTCCTGCCTCTCTCATAGCCTACAAACGTTTAAATCTCCTCACACCAGATAAACTCTTAAATGATTCCCACACTGAATGATACTCAAACATCACATTCTCACCCTTAAATGTACAAATGTACATCCTATAACATATTTCCCAAAAAGCTCATATTTAAATTGTTTCTTAAAGCTGGTTTACATTTGTACTTTAAAAAAAAAAAAAAAAAAAAAAAAAACCTCACATTTTAAACTTTCTCAAAAATTAAAACAACCAA